ATATTCACTTTGAGTTGAATAACCGAAAAATTTTATAGGTCCTTATAGAGCATGTCGAACAATTGGCATGCTCAAAGCATCGCAGACTGAGCAGCACCTCTCATTTACCGAATCGACCACCATCTCGAACGGTTTGTCTCAATTCTATTCAGTCTTTGGATTATCATTATGGTTCATTTTTCTTTTTCGTGGCGTTTTGATTTGCTCTCACTGATTCGCATCAATGGATCCGTAGAAACTGCATGACTTTTCAAAATGAATTCACAAATGTGCTGATAGGAAAAACAGTTTGCATTCAGGAGGACAAAACAGAAGTGGCGAAAGATGTAACGAACAGTGCATCGTCGACAAGAAACAACGCGCCTGTAACATTCACAATTGGATCACCTGTACTAGCTGCAGGTAGTTCAATGGTTGGGTCATCGTGCACTCCAAATGGTCATATCAGACAGCTTTCCGAGAGTTCGACAATGCCCGAAAAGACGCATGACTCATCGAAATCAAGATTGGATTCTCCTTCCATACCCGTATTTCATCAGTCGGCCATCTTTACGCCAAAGAGAAATGTTTGTTCACTTGTTCCCTCTCTCTTGTCCTCCTAATTTATGTTTAAGGAATGGAATTATATGATCTTTTAATGCATTAAATCATTTGTTCATTTCATTTATTTTAAGAAAGTTTGAGCATTGTGTTGGTGAATATTTCAGTTTGTGTTTAGTGAAGTGTGAAAGATGACTTTTAGATGTATACACCGACAATAAAAAGTTTGTCAAAATTGGAGTCAGAAAGTTCATCGTATGTCGCCGAGCCAGTACCAGCACTGGTCTCGACTGATTTTGTGCCTTGGTGCGCGAAAAGGTTCACTGAACCAATTCTGGATATGATCCAAGGCTTGTTTCAAAAATATCATTCATTTATTCATCATACATACTATCATTAGGAAGCCTTCGAAATAATTCACGATTTGTTTCCGTTTTTCGACAAATAATTTTGATTTTTTATGAGTGCCGATTCATTCTATTTTCAATACCTCGGCATTTTTCATGGAGAACATTCAATACACTAAAGGAGTTTCATCACAAATTGTTTTGCCTAAGATTGTTTCAGAACAAAGATTTCGTATTGAATGAAAATTTCAATTCAGGACAAGCGGGTGATGGCCTGTCGGATCGATTGGCCGTTAAATCGATGCCTAGTGATTGGGCATTCCATAAAGATGAAGGTCTTCTGCAAACAGCGAAACAGGAAATCCAAGCACTCACCAATATGGTAACAATATAAAACATTTAGCAAACAGTTTGCTAATTGCTAATGTTTCGAGCAAAAAATGAGATACAACATTCATTTTTGATAANAATATATGGAGGTGGGAAGCACAAAAGGCGCTCTGTGTGCGACGATTCAACAGTGCTGATGGGAATCCATTTGTTGATGTTGGTTCTTATTCTGATGTAATTCCTTACCACTTTATTTGTTTAGAAAATCAGATTTAGATTGCCTTTGCTCATTCATTGTACTTATTCATTTGCTTCTCTCTATGCTCTTTTATCATTCTGAGAGTATAATTCTCATGCAGGATGTGGTATGTGATATGCATATTCTGAATGAAATGACTCGTGAGTTGCTGATGACCGGCAGTGATAACGGTATGATTCGTGTTTGGGATCCGTGCTACTCCATACATTCACATGAATTCGAAGCTGAGCCGTGTATGATAACTGCTGCGTATTTGCTGAAGGATGTGCCTCGCGTAAGCACCGACAAACCAGATACCACTGTTTATAGGTAATTCCTGTCACTGTTCAACCCATCCTTGTCTGAATGAGTTTCTTTCATTTGAAGCGTTGAATCATTTTTGAATTCCACACAATACCATTGAAGGTCTAGTTCTGGGTTCTGGAGATGATTTGGAAGTATAAAGGATAAACGGTTTCGGAGAATTCTGAAGTGCTCTTTACCGTAAAATGCAAAAGATAATGTCTGTCTCCGCTTCCAAAATGAAAAATTTCCATTGATCGATAAAGCTCAGTTGAAGTGATCTTCTTTATTCTCCCTTTGCAGTTGGAATCAGCAGTCTGGTCGGATCCTGACATCGGGCAACGTCCGGTTGTGTCGTATTTGGGATACACACGCTGAACAGACTGCGCAGGATATTCCAATTGGCACAAAGAGTTGTCTTGTCACCAAGATTTGCTCAGATGATAGTTGTTCGGAGTTGATTGCACTTGGTTAGAATATTTTTCAAAGTTAAATCTTTTACGAAAGTTAAAGGCGAAAAATCGGGAAGAGAAACTATTATTCGATAGTTTCAATTCTGCTATGCAGTGATGTCAGACTTTTTAAATTCAGGTCTGAACGATGGGTCAGTGAATTTGTACGATCCTCGAATACCGACTAAATCACAACGAGTGATGGTTCTTCGCGAGTTGCAACGTAAAATCGTTGGTCTGTCATTCATTTCTAATACGTCGAACGCTGTTCAAACGGGTGCTGGCCTAAGGTTGGTCGCTGGCTCAGCGGATGGCGAATTGCGTGTTTGGGAACCTAGAATGTTCCAGGTAAGCATCGCTTGACTAAGCATGTGCATATTTCAGTTTTTATTTCGTGTTCACTCAGTGGACCGCATTTTTATGAAACTGAGGATTTGAGGATTGAGGTATAAGTTAAGTTTTGAGGACTGAATTATTCCAGAATGGCTTACGGTTGTTAAGTGATCGTTGAATAGGTTAGGATGTGGCCGTTGCGTTGTGGGAACTGATCGTACGTTTATGCCTCATTGAAAATTTGTTTTCAGGAGCCAGTGGTTCAACTGAACGCATGTGAAGAGCTGAAGGGTAAAGAGATGATAATGCCAAAAATGGAGGTGCAGCCTAGCGGACAGGTTATTCTTTTTTTATCCAGCGACTTTTGATGATTATTCATTTACAACTAGACCTAGCAATGTGATGTATTTTTGACTTATTTGGAGTTTCAAAAGAAAAAAAAACACGAATGACTGAGCGTAATGCTGATAGCGATAATCATGAAAACAGTTCTAATCATATTACGCTTACAGTTGATGGGTTGTGCGACAGTATTACCGGCTGTGAGGATATTCGATGTGTCTGGTAAACAGCTAACTGATATCCGCTATTCTGATACATTCATGAGTGGTGCGAAACATGGTTTACCGACTGCGCTGCGTTTTCATCAGTTACGCGTTTCACTGGCAGTCGCCACGAAAGAACGCTTTATTTCTGCTTATGGCATGCCCAATGATTGATTCGAATGGAACACGGTGAATAAATTGTTACTTGATTATTAGGCTATTAGACAGTGAGAGTTGTTCAACCATTCATCTTTTCAGTTGTCTTTTTTGCCGCATAAGTATTCTCATTGACGATTGAACGTAAAGGTTGTCACGATCATAGACTGAATGGCAAAAATCTGGAGCATTCCTTAAAGAAGTGTTTCCAAACGGTTATTCCAATTTTATTTTGCATTATCCATCCGACTTCAGATCGCATCAAAAGTTTATTGTGCTTATATCGTTGCTCGTTGCTTGATTGCTCTGATAAGTTATTGATTGCGATTGTGGAATATGGTAATAGTGTCGCGATTCGTTGATCATCGGTTCGTCGTCGATTGTCAGTTTGCTTCATTTCATTTGTTTTATCGTAAGAATCAAATCGCTCAGAGTTTTTGTTTCGATGTTGCTTCACACTGCCTTTTGATATAAGTTGCTGTTTGTTTGTCAGTAAACGATGAAGATGAACACTGAACCAGTGAATTGAACAGAATCTGTTTGATGATCTTTATTGAGATGAAGCCGTTTATTTCTACTTGGAACTGTACTTTTCAATCAAAAAAGATATCATTGTGCTCGTTTATTTCCAATTCCATTATATTCGGTAGTGAGGAAATTGGCGATTCGATTGAAATACCAAATAAATTGTTTCTGATGTGATTTTGCAAAAGTAATTCATTGATTAAACTGAACATTCGTTTAATCAGCAACTTAATTTCAAATTTGCATTATGCTTGTATAAGTGTTTTGTTTTAAGTCATTATTATTGTTTCGTAGAAAGACAGATGAATGAGTCTGTAATATACAGACGAAGCAAATTAGACGCAAATATTACTCAATGTTCACATCTATTGAAATGTTTACAGTTGTAATATTTAAAGTGTATTTCATTTTTGTGTTTCTCGATACAGGTACAAACAACTTTCATTGTAATCATTTGTTTCATTCGAGTTGTTCCTTCATTCAGTGTGTCTTCTAATTCCATTGATGCAGAAAGCTTGAACGTTTTTTTTTGTATCGATGAAACGAGACGAATGTTTTCGAAGTGAAAGTAAATGTTTGCACTGATGTGATTATTCGAAAGGTGATCGTATTGGAGTGGTTATTCGTCATATTATCATTATCGTTTTTCGATGTTATTAATTATCGTTACCGTCATTTGATTTACGCTAAAATGCTCACTGGTGTTGATTGCTCCATTTCATTTTAAATATATTCTTATTGCTCCTCTTCTCTCGAAATTCTCTCGTCCATCATTTTCGATTGTTGAGAATTGCCACAGTTGATTTATTCTTAATTGTTTTACTCTTCATTCATGACGCTGTTCTTTTTGTGATGCAAATCCGGTGAAGTGATATATAAAGTCAGATTTCGGTCTTGATCGAGTTGGGTTGTTTCGGTTATAGTGTTATTCCCTGAACGATGATGACGTATTTGTGCATTCTTTCGACTGAGATACGACAGCATCATTATGTAAAGCTTTATTAGCTGGTTGTTTGCTCGATCGAGGTCACTTCTGGATTTACAGATTTTGTGGAGATTATATTGTGAAAGAACGGTTTAATGATGTTCGTAAGTTTGAGGGTGTGTGTTGTTGTGTTCATTTTTGAGTAGAGTCTCGCTATTAGTTGTATCGTTTTAATTGCATATTGATTCTTAATTGTAACTTCGAGTTTTTTACATCATTTTCAGATTTTGAATGGCTCCCAGCATAGATTGTATAGTTTATTGTGGATAGCGTTTAGTGAATTGATATAATTCTCACTCTAAATCGTCGTATATTTTCGTTGACTGTTCTTGTTCGCTTACGAATGTATATAATAAATTATTATTATCATTTTTACTCGCTGTCGGAGTGTTCATCTAATTAATGATACAAACGTTTGCATTCGATGTTCTGAACTTGACCTTAGCGTACATGTAGAATTCTGCAGGCTTTTCCGTCTTCGAATGGAGTTATCTTGATTCATATTGGTGCATGAATTCGTCGGTTGTTGATTGTCATGGACAGGGATGAAAGTCAGTGGTGCTGTTGAATAGAATGGAATTATTGTGAGGGAGTAATGTAATACGACAGAGTATTGGAATAATTGATCTTAATCGTTGAATACTGACAAGGATTTCAGAGTATTTAATGCATCTGATGAATGTAATCCGACGATTAGCACATCACATCGCTCATTCACCGCAAACATCAGAACGATGTCTTCAGGTTGTCTTTGATATTAGTTACGTCGCATTCGTTTCATACTTTGCCGTTAGTGTTAACAATCGAAACTATCACACCCATACTCTCACGTAGCCATGAATGAGGATATCAGTGACTGATCGAAGTGAGAATGTGTATCGCCAAATGAACCACTCATCTCCTTTCCAGCAGTCAATAATTATTGATGATACTGACCTTTTGCTGTTCATTCAGTGACTGTAACTGTGAACTGTACGGTTATTTAAATATGGCACCAATCAGTTAGTTGCTCGGTAATGTGATTGCTGATAATAAATGAAATAATTCGTAATTAATCAATCGTAA